AAATGTATGTGTATAAATCTAAATAATATATTTCAGTAATTAATTTTATTTTTAATATGTTAATTTTAAATAGAATAACTATTTATTAAAATTATAATATTATATCTATATTCTATATAAAATAATGTATTTAAGTTTGGTCGGCAGGGCTTAATGACCCATGTATAGATATACAATTGGATCGACAAATTTTGATTTATATTCTTTGTCGTAGGTAGAAGCCCAAACAAAATATCATTAAGGTGGCTATATTTATTTGTTTTGTATTTACAGCTTTCGTGATAGAGTATAAAAAGATCTGGCAAAACGATCTACACATGTATAATCCCAAGCGAGGGGTATACCTTGGTTCCAAGAGACTAGCGTCATTCCATCATAGCTAAAGCCAGAGGGTTTCAGTGTAAAAGTAATATTTGCGGATTTCAAGATTCTATTGATGATCGAATTGATGGCTAAGTGCCTGTATATTTTGCCTTTTGAAAAAAGACCGGGGGGGGGGATGTCTGGCTATCGATATGAGTTTCACAAGGGACACATGATGTCGGGGTTACTATTTCACAAAACAAAGACCTATAGCTATTATAAGATCTTCGTTGGTTAATAAACAAGCCTAAATTAGAACTAGGTATAGTTTCTAACCATTCGTAGCCAAGGTGACATATGGCTGAGACTGGAATTATTTGATCCATGTTGACATTCTGTATACTCGGGGTTGGGTTTAAGGGGAGATAGAGCGATGGAGATTTTCTTTGAACAGCTTTGAAGTGTAAGTATAAGTATTCAACGCAATGCTATATCAATGGTAAATTCCAGTCTCTTGTCTTAAATTTAGATTTTTGGATATGAGCGGCTTGGAGAATCTGCTCCAGAGGTTTAATGCTGCCATATGATGTGGATTCGATAGTATCCAAGTCTCCAAGTGTGTAAGGAAATTTAGCAACTGAGGATAAAAAGGCTTAAATGCATAAGGATATGGGGGAATGGATACCTACACCACCTAGCTTTGTTGAAAGGGCAACTTGCATACTGAAGAGTGAAGAGAATTTGATATTTAAAATATAATTGAGAGTATTTTTATAATGAACCTCAGGTCTAATAATATTTCAAGGGACGAGAAAATTGTTGATGAACAGGCATGTAAAATTTTAAGAATGAATAAAAAATATTTAATAGTTAAAGCTAGTTTTGTCCACTAATAAAATTTTCAGGTGGGCAGTCCGATTCAAGGGTGTGATAAATTAATTTTAAAATAAATTTTTTGTTTAAATGTTTGATTGTGTTCACGGATATGCAACAATAATATAATTTCCCGTCCAAATAGATTTTCTTTTCTTAAATTGTTACATTGCTGGGTTTTATAATTTTGTAACCAAATTCAATTAATAAACCTATGTTTTAATATTGATTTTTTTACCTATTTAGCACAATATATTCCATATTTTTTGCCATCAAGTTGCTGGTAATATTTATAGAATTTCATATAAATGTATTTTTTTTAAATTAGAGTATCTTTGACTAGTGGCTGACAAAGTATCTTGTGACTAGTGACTGACAGAGTATCCTGTGAAATTAGAGCATAGAACTTAGTATAAGGAATGACAAAGACTTAGATTATTTTAGAATTTAATAATTTTTGAATAAACTACTAAATTAGTAATCATTACTTACTAATAAGAAAAATTTTCAGGCCTGGTCCGAATTTTTTTAAAATATATTTTATTTATTTTTGATTTACTAATAATGGCGATTTCAAATTTGGTTTTAAAATATACAACCTGGCCCGGATATTTTTTTTGAGAAAAATAGGCCCGGCCTGAGTATTTTTAAAAAAAAATTAAAATACGTCCCGGCCTGTCCGAGCCGGGTCTGCAGGTCCCTAATAAATATATTCTATTTTCCGATAATTTTTTTCGGGTTTAATTATTTTTTTATATAAATAAATTGTATATTTTTAAAAATAATTGATTATAATTATTATATCCTAATTTTTTTATATTAAATAAATGCGTTGTAAATAAATAATGCGTTTATGAATGATGTATAAAGTAACTTATTATTAACTAGTTACTTTTGAAATATAACTGTATCTAGTAACTGTAACTAGTTATATTTTTACCAATGTAACTAGTAACTGTAACTAGTTATATTTCAAAGTAACTTTTAACAACACTAAAAATAACACAACAAATATACTTTCTTTTTATTAAATAATTATAAATCAATTATATAACATGACAAAAATAGAATAATATTTTTAAAATTTATTAAATTATAAAGTTATAATTGCCATGATAATTTAAAATATTCAGAAAAGGCATCTCTATCTTTAGAAACCTTTGAGGGATTTTTTATAGATTGAGGATTCCATAAATAATTATTTTGTTAAGGATCTTGAGTATCCTTGGGGTAGAGATCTGTTTTCTTTATCACTCACCAAGTTGTGTAACAGTGAACAAGTTTTTATAATTGTTTCACTATTGGTAGCATTAACTTACCTTTATAAAGTTTCATAATATAATATTTTAATGGGTAGGCATCATCTGCAATAAAAACACATGGCAGAATTATATATGAATTTGATAAATTTTTAGGTGGTGGAATATCTATGTCTCCATTCTCAATCATTTTTGATAACAAAGAATTTGAGTACACACCTCAATCTGACACTGCCATAACTGCCTACAAAAATTACCATAAATCTATCTTTACCATCTAATAATGCTTGTAATATCATAGAGAAATATTATTTATAATTGTAATATATGCTCCCAGATTTAGAAGGATCTTTAATCTCAATATGCTTGCCATCAATGGCTCCAAAACAATTTGGAAAGTTCCAAGACTTCTCAAATTGATCAGCAATTATTTTGAAGTCATTTAAATTAGATAGTTTCATATTTACATTTTTTTTTTAAAATAAAAATATGCTTGTCGCAACTACTATATGAATGTATGTCACTTACAACACATCAGTTGCTCTGTGGTTTAATGTCGTGTCGCTGTCGTTTTCTACTGTGAATGCACCCTAAGAATACAAGAATATCCATTATAAAATGTCCTAAGATGAATACTGTGATATTATAAATTAAAATCATAGGCAGATAGTTTTGATAATTTAAATAAAAAATCAATAACAAATTAAGATATTTTCAATATATTGAATTAAATTCCCTGCTATTTATTTAAAATTATATAATTTATGTTTTATATATAATTTTTAATTTACCAATGAAATAAATAGCGTTAAATTTTATATGATAGTCAGATAAGAGGGGCAAAGCCCCTCAGGATTTTATATGTATGGACCCCCTCTAAGGAAAATTTATAACTACGCCACTGGGTAGATTACTCTTGTTACCTCTGCTAAAAACTTTGCCTTCAAAAATTATTTTCTCATTTTTTTTAATCCCGCTTTTTTTAAATAAAAAAAGCAAAAAAAGTATACTTTCAAAATTTTTTTTTTTATCCCACTTAATATGATTTTGGGTAGTATATAATAGACAATTTTGAGCAGATTCAGAATCTGCCATTAAATTTAAAAAAGCTATCATGTTGTGAATTTCTCCCGGCCCTTTTGCCAGGCCTTTGGCCAGGTTTATCTTAAAAATCATATTTAATAAATACATTTTTTAAATGCATCAATAATATGTTATTATATTTTAATAGATTATTCTCACTGACTTTATAATAATACAATCCAGAATAATTTCAATAGTAATATAATATCCTTCCACAAACATAAAAACCAGAAAAATATAAATATTCATGGTATTTATTTGATATAAAGTCACTTTTGAGTCTTTTGAGCGTATAATCTAAAAAAAAAAATTTGCTCTGGGAGGGGTCCAAACCCGAAACCCCTCCCGTAGCTACACCACTGAATCTACCCATTCTATTTTTTCTTTGAATAACAGTAACTCTTACTTTTATAGAATAATGTGACGAACCCTGGATATAGATATTAAAAATTTGATGGCTACAAAATATTTACAAAAAAAAATTCATGGGCCAAGCTTGACTTTTCATACAATTTTAATGGGCTAGAAAACTAGAAGAAAAAATTGGTCTTAGACAGGATGGACAAATATTAAAATAATAGGCCAAGCCAGACAACTTGTAAAATGGGCCAGACTTTGCCAATACCGGATAGATTTATTGTTCAGACTGAACCAGGTCCAGATTTTTCATATTTGGATCTGGCCATAAATGCCTGGTATTTAAAATTTAATATGAAATTAATTTTTAAAAAAGGAAAGTGTATATTTTATTAACCAAAATTTACAATTTTTATATTTTGCAAGCATATTTATCAGAAACCTACTGAAGTATCTATTGCTAATGAAGGTGAATGATCTGACAATATTAGTCAATCAAAACTGACTGATAAGCAGTGAGTCCAGTCTAATATTTTATTTTAGAAATAGCTATGAATCCACTCTAGATTAATTTTATAATACTGTTAAAGAATTACAATTTTTTCAAAAAATCAGAAAAATTATGAGTAGTAATAAAGAATCATTTTATCCCTATTCTTAAAATAATATTCATAAAAATTTTAGGAAAATAAATAATAGAAAATTTTGTCAATGACAATCTGGTCCTAAATAAATTTCAACATCAAGGTCCAAATCAAGTATGAAAAAATATATAAATTTGATTGTATGACTCAGATAAATCCATGCAGTGATCTAATATTTTGTAAATTGTATCAAAAGTAAATTTAAAAAAATGAGAAGTAAATGAATATAAAATGTTCTATTATATGATATTCTAACTGATTAATAAATATAGTTTTTTGGTAAATTAATCATTGAGTTTACATTTTCATATGTTTAAAAAAAATATCCAATCAAAATTCAGTGAAAAGAATAAATCTAGAACATCCATAAACATTATATTATATTAAGATATAATTTAAATTCATTAAAAAATATCCTTATTTTAAAAACCATACAAATATATATAAATTAATGTGAAAAATAATATTGATGTATAAATACTTTATTTCAGTCTTATGAATTAATTTCAAATTAAATAATCATTATAGGCATATATATTATACCATATATAGATTTTTTGATGAATTCATAAAAAATTTTAAAAAGTGACTATACTACCTAATAGAAAATAGGATGACACTTTATCATTTGTGAGACGCCTATTATCATTAAATAAATCAGTCAATATCTGTAACATTAGAGTAAATATAATGTGCGTCTTTAGCAGAGTTGGGCAGTCCTCCGGAAAAAGAATTTAGATACAGATACAGATTCTTTGTGAAAAAATGAATCTTAGATACAGATACTAGTATCTTTTTCAAATATTAAAAAGATACAAGATAAAAGATACTTGTATCTTCTGCCTAATTAAGTATTACAAGATACTTTTAAATTATCATTACCAATTAAATTAGAATAGTTTATAAAATACAGATTTATTATTTATTTGTGAAGAACATAACTTACGCATATAATAATAATGAATATTTATTATTATTAATAAAATATTTAATGATTAGTTAATTATAATAATCAGGCATTTTAATAATAGTAATTAGCCCATTCTTATAATAGATATGGAAGGGAGACTAGTATTTTTAATGGGAATTGAAATATTAATTTGCAAAAGAGTATTTAAAATAGATTATTATTTTATAAGATAATCAATTTTTTCAATAATTTATCATTAGACCTTTGCCGTTTCGGCTTACTTAACCTTGTGGCAAAACTAAATAACTTCTCAGTTGGTGCTGATGAAAATATTGCTATATAAAATTTATAAATAATTTTCATAATGGAAGGGTAATAATTAAGCATTTATAATGTATTTCGACTTTCTTTAATATAATATAAAACCTAATGTTCAATGTTATTTGTATTATTGAACTCAGCAACATTTGCTTACCAAAGGATAATTATCATTTTCTCTATTAGATGTTAAATCTATTGGTGTTATAGTTTGAGCTTAATTATCAGTGGCGTCCCTAGGTGGGAGGGTTGGGGGGGGGGGATAAGTGGCTCGTGCCCTCTGAAAAATTTGAATAGCCCCCTGAAGCAAAATATTTTTTTAATGGCTCCTTAATATCCCCTCGATCTAAAAATTATTTTTTTTGATTGCCATCTGAACGATTTCTTTTATAATTCTATTAAGTAATATATAGATATAATTTTATTATTTAAAAATTAATAAGACTATCTAAATTTTTATTAAATAAATACTATTTTAATTATTAGATTAGATTAATATATATTAATTATATTTTCACTATGTCAGCACAATCAAATTCTGTGTAAAAATAGAATATCAATATCACTCACTAAATATTAATTTAGCATTAACAGTTGAAGCTTAATTGAATTTTATTATTTAAATTGTTATATAACCCTAAGTAAATAAATATAATAATTTATTAATTGAAAATTAACAAATTTAATGTAGTAATTAGCCGAGTTCAAAATCACTAATCAACTATATTATTCATTTTTAAATTTAATTAGCCTCTTCCTAAAAATATTTTCAAGTTCCAAATAAGTACAAGAGATTTGTTTATAAAAAGTAAGTAGACATATAGTTTATAATCCTTTATTATATATAATTGATTATCAAATATTAGATAAAATGCCACTTCAGACGTATTTGACAGTTATATAATATATTGCAATTAATATTTTAATTACTATTAAAAGCTTTTGATAATAAATATAAATAACAATTTGCTTTCAATTCTTTAACGCCATCTATTTAAAAATATTATTAAAAATAAACATCTTATTATTCATCTCACAATAGTTGTAATAAATTATATATCTTTTCTTCTCTTTTTTTATATGAGGAAAGCTATTTTTTTCTTCTTTGAAAAACAGTTTTGAGTTAAATATTTAATACGAATGGTGAATTCCATATCAAATCAACAAAAAAAGGTCGATTTTCAACCCGACCCCCTTCAATTTTTCTTAAATTTTGTATACTGGTAGTATATACTATAACTAAGAAAAAATTAAAATTTTACCTTCCAACACTGTTTTCCCGCTAGGATAAGGCCGTTTAAAGCGCGGAAAAATGGTACATTTTTGACAAAATGCACCTCATTTATTTTCAAATATCTCGAGAAATAATTACGTTAGAAAAATAATTTAAATTTTATTTTGTAGCTTCTTTAATATGACATAAAAATAAATATGATAGACATCTGATTAATATCGAAAACCGGATGTGTAAACCCGGAAATGGCCATAGAATTTTTTTTTCTGTAGATAGATATCACACTGCTTTATATTTGTACAAAATCCTAGACTGGGATAAACATGGGTTTAAGAGTTATCACTCTTTATATGGCTAAAATTGAACAAATTTAACATTAATATCATCATATTTTTATTTAATGAATAGTTATGAAATAATGTTAATTTAAAAATTATTATCTAAATGATAGGCCCTTACTTGCTGGGATAATGAGCTGTTTAAAACTTTAGTTAAATTTGACTCGAAATTACCTAACAAAATAATTTTAAATATTTTATTTAGCATAAAATAATCTACCAAAATTGAAATTCAACAATAAATTTTCCCCCATATATTCAAAATTAAAAAAAAGGCTTAATATATTATTTGACGAGAGTTCTATAAATTATAAAACATTCAAACAATGGATAGCAGTTGATCAAAATCCGCTGACTAATTTGTAGATTATTTAATTGAATAATTAAACAATTTAATTCCTCATTTATTTATAGCTTCACGATAATCATTAATTCGAAACTTTTTAAAATTCATTTTAAATGTTGGCGAATTCTTAGTTATTGCAGACTTTTGAGAAACTATGTATTTGTAGTGCATAACCATGCACAAGGATTTAATCAGACCAATAATCAAGCCACTATGCACTCTTTTATAATTTATTACCGTGAGGACAACATAATCAAACATGTAAATTTAGTCATTATATCAGATTGTTTAAAGCACAGCGCATGTGCATTTTATTTATTTTAAAAATTGATCGTATTCTTGAAGGAAAGATTTAATTGAGTGTAAAATTTATTATTTTTCTGATGGAGCAGTAACCAATATAAAAATAAAAGATTTAATGAATCTCTACAATCATGAAAATGATTTTGGGATAAAGGCTGAGTGACATTTTTTGAAACCGCACAAGATAAAAGTCCATGCGACATTTTGGGGGCCGTTACTAAACGGTTAACAGCTCAAGCAAGCTTGCAACGCCCATATGAACATCACATATTGACAACAATAGATTTATTTAACTACGCAAGAAATAATATCTATGGGGTAAATTATATATTTGTGAGCAATAACAAATATATGAACATAGAAAGTCATCCTGAAAACAGATTTTTGAGAGCAAAGAGAATTTCTGGAACACAAAGTTCCAAACTTTTATTCCCCTAGACGAAAATAAAAGTCATAATTTATTAAAATTCTTTGGATGATTATAATATATGATAAATTTTAATTATAAATTTTTGATTGTATTATATGTAATGCATGGGGCAAATAAGGTTATAAATATGTTTAGAATTATTTTGTCAAGTAACTTCAAGACAAAATTTGACTTAACTGTTAAACAAAACTCATTATTCCAGCCATTTCTCAAAAATTTTGATAAAGATAAAAAAAAAAGTAAGGGCCTGTCATTTAGACATAATTTTTAAATTAACATTATTTCATAACTATTTATTAAATTAAAATATGATGATATTAATGCTAAATTTGTTCAATTTTAGCCATATAAAGAGTGATAACTCTTAAACCCATGTTCATCCCAGTCTAGGATTTTGCACAAATATAAAGCAATGTGATATCTATCTACAGAAAAAAATTGAAAAAAAAATACCTTTTTTTTCTATGGCCATAACCGGTTTTACACATCAGGTTTTTGATATTAATCAAATGTCTATCGTATTTATTTTTATGTCATTTTAAAGAACTTTTATTAAGCTACAAAATAAAATTTAAATTATTTTTCTAACCTAATTATTTCTCGAGATATTTGAAAATAAATGAAGAGCATTTTATCAAAAATGTACTATTTTTCCGCGCTTTAAACGGCCATATCTTAGCGGGTAAACAGTGTTGGAAGGTAAAATTTCATTTTTTCTTAGTTATAGTATATACTACCAGTATACAAAATTTAAGAAAAATTGAAAGGGGTCGGGTTGAAACCTTTGTTGATTTGATATGGAATTCACCACGAGTATTTTGATATTATTACAAACTACTATTAATTTAAGATATAATATACCAACTTGAGGTGGTGGGACAATAGTATATAATCATAATTGCTTTCATCATATCACTCTGGTCCTTATTTTATAGTTACAAAATGTTTCATTTTTAATATGGCATCCTTGCCATGTAAATAACTCAAGGCTTCAATATATTTGCAAAATTTCTTCTATTTATTTTTAGTGTTTTTGTTTTATCAATTTATCTAACATATAAATTCTGATATGAGTTATGTTGGAATTGTATTATTTCCACTTTTATCATAGATAATTATTACACATTTTTCATTGATTAGCATTTTATTTTAAATCATAATTTAAATTTTATTATATGATATATTACATATTTAATTTTCAACCTCAATTACATTTTTTTTATCTCTTTATATATCTTTTTTTTTAAACAATAATAAAAAAAATAACTAATACAAATTGATGTATAAAAAAAAATGTTAATATAAAATTTTCACCGATTAAATTTAAATTCAACTTGATATATAAAAAAATAAATCAAATGCCAAAATAAATAATAAAATAACATCGATCAACATATTCAACATATTCAACATTCCACCCTCCAAAGAAATTCGGCTTATGATTTCCTTGGGTTGAGTGGTAACGTCATTAACATTCATGATCACCACGCAATACGCCACCCATGTTCATGGTGCAGTCTTCTTTTCAAACCGAATGATGGCTTGGTAGAGTAAAGACAACCCCTAGCTAATTTCCAAACCGGGTCGCTTGTGCATGGCATCGGACATCTAGATTCCTTTCGAGCAAGGTTTATCTTGTCGTGTTTCAGCCAGCAATCCAATTTCTGAGTCGTTGCATCGATCTTGGCGCACTGAATTCTCCTTGAAGGTATGATCTTGGCGCACGGAATTCTCCTTGA